TGAAGCCTGTTTGAGCTTTTGCTGCAAAAATGTATAGTAACTGAAAGCTTTAGCATGGGATTTCTTTTGATATTTCATAAGAACTTCAGTTTGAATTTTTATGATGTTTTTACTTAAATAAATTCAAATGAATTTTTTAGTCTTTTTTTTTTAGTCTTTCAGTCTTTTTTCTTTTAGATCTATTTATTTATGTGTATGAATATTTTCCCTGCATGCATATATGTATACCATGTGCATGCCTGTGTGACCCTCTGGAGCTGGGGTTATAGATTGTTATGAACTACCGTGTGTGTGCTGGGAATCTGAACTTTGGTCCTCTGCCAGAGCAGTAAGTGCTCTTGTTGAACCAGCTCTCCAGCCACCAGTGAACCTTTTTGAAGAACTTCCTTTTTACTGAAAGGTGAGTAATGTGATCTTGGAGCTGTGATCCTCTTGTCTCCACCTCCTCAGTGCAGGGATTACAGCCATGAGCCCCATGTGTCTTATCCAGTGCTGGGGACTGAGTAGAGGGCTTCATGCATTCTAGGCCAGTGCTTTACCAGTTGAGCTACATCATCAACTCCTAACTCAGCGTAGTCATTTCCCATGTCTTAGTAAAATAACTAATGCTTATAAGACTTTGCAAATAATTTAACCCAGATCAAAGATCCTTTTCTGTAAGCCTTTATTAATCTTGATGTCTTTAAAATTGTCTTTATTTCATTGACACAGATACACGTTGCTTCATTTCTACTCTGTTCCTGTGTTCCTTTTGTGGAGGCCTTGGTTTGCATGATCCTGTTTTCACTTAACAGTGACTGCTATCTTCTAAGCCAGGTGTACATGTCCTATACTTTTATTTACTTTACTTTTTTTTCTTTTTACTCCTTAATTTACTTGAGCACAGCTCATTGTTTACATTGAGTGACTGAAATGATCATGCCACTATTTAACAAAGGACAACTTAGAAATCACCACCCCCCTCTGTCTAATATGTGTAATATTTTAAACAGTTTTACTTGTAGATGCATACATGTTTATATATACAGACATGTGTGTTCATATAAGTATACATATACACATATATGTATACATATATGTATAATATGCTTTCTGTTTTCATGTACTATATCAGGAAGATTTTATTTATGCTTCCGCTCTGTTCTAGACATATTTGTTGTTTGTTTTGTGTGTGTTGTGTGGGTACATGTGGAGGTGAGAATTCAATCTAGGTTTCATTCCTCAGGAGCCACTACCTTATTATTTTTGTTAATGTGTGTGCATGTGTGCTGTAGTGCCCGTGTGGAGGTAAGGGGACAACTTTGGGATTGGTTCTCACTTTCCACCTTTATGTGGGTTCCAGGTGGTCAGCTGCTTTACAGCTCAGCCATCTTGGTTGCCCCCCCCTCCCCTTTTTAAGATAGATTCTCTCATTGGATCCTAAGGCTTGCCAATTCTGCTAGATGCCAGTTCTGCTAGGTGGCTATCAAGCTCTAGGCTTTTCTAGAATCTTGTGTTGTTGGAGTCATGTAGTATGTGGTGTTTTAAACTTTCCTTTCATGTAGATTTTAATACTCTATTAGGTTTTCTGTCTTCATTGGTTTCATAGCTCCTTTCTCCTTTAGCATTGAAGAATATCCTGTCACTTGGATATGTCAGAGTTTACGTTCATCCACTGAAGGACATCTTAATCGTTTCCTTTTGTTTTGGATAATTATGAACCTGATATAACTATTTATGTATGTGTTTTTGTGTAGACCTAAGTTTTTAGGTCTTTTGGATAAAAACTAAGCAGTGAAATTTATTGATGCTGAGGAAAGTGTGTGTGGTATTATAAGAGAGCACTCACATGTCTTCTTGCATTCCCACTAGCTACGAGTGAGAACTCCTGTTGTTCCACTTCTTACTAGCATTTAACAATGCTGTCAGTGTTCTGAATTTTGGCCAATTTAATAGTTACATAATGACATTTTGTAGTTCGAACACCTATATCTTTACATGTATATATATATATTTTTTATTTCTTTTGTTTTTGGAGACAGGGGTTTCTCTGTGTAGCCTTGGCTGTCCTGGAACTCTCTCTGTAGACCAGGCTGGCTTTGAGCTAGAGATCCTCCTGCCTCTGCCTCCCAAGTTCTGGGATTAAAGGCATGCGCCACCACTGCACAGCCTTCTATATATTTTTTAATGTGAGGTGTTTGACCCATTTCAGTGGCTTTGTCCCTGATCTTTGGATGAGTCTACATTGGCTAATAGTAATTGACAGTTATGTTTTCCCTTGTGTGGTTTGCCTTTCTATTCTCGATAGTGTCTTTTGAAGAACATTAATGAAACCAGCTTGCCAGTTTTTCCTTTGACACATTACTTTTGCAGTATCACCAGCTGCCACTGCATGGAGATCTTTGATGTCTTCTGGGAGTTTGAATAGATTCTCTTTTGTTCTGAGCTTGACTAGCCAGCTGTGGTGCTGTCTGTTGAAAATGTCCTTTCCCATTACTTTCACTACATTGTCAAACATCAGCTACTGTACAGTGGTTTGTTTCTGAATGCCAGTTTTGTTCTGATCTTTTCAAGACAGTTACAGCCAGTAACTGTCTCGATACCTTGATACCTTTGAAACACGTTCTGAATCAAATTGTCCTTACGCTGTGTTTGACTTTTCAAACAGCGTGTTGTTCTTACAGTAGAAGAATTCTTGCTGTCATTCTAAGGATTACAATGAGAAGACAAGTTAGAAAGGTTAGTCTAAACTTTAGGTTAGACTATGGAGGATAAAACTATACTGGTTTTTTTGTTTTTGTTTTTTTTCTTTTGAGACAGGGTCTCACTATTTAGCTCTGGCTGTCCTGGAACTCACTGTGTAGACCAGGCGGCCTTGAACTCAGAGATCTGCCTGCCTCTGCTTTTCTAATGCTGGGATTAAAGGTGTGAGTCACTCCACCTGGCTGAATTCTTGCTCATGAAAACTGGTGAAGAACCAGTCTTTTGAGGAACAGTGTGTTAAAGGAAACAACAGTGCCAAGGTCCTCTTTTCCCTCATAATGCCTTCCCTGTGACGAGATGGAGAAATGATAGCATATAAACTGTACAACCAAGACCAAGGGCATGAGATCTTGACCTGCTGTCTTCTGAGTGTGCACCCTCACTTTATCTACCAAGTTAGAGAATTAGATGAAATTTAAAGGAGGCAGTTAAGATCAGTTTCCCAGTGCTAGTGAGCTAGCTCAGCAGGTAAAGGCACTTGCTGCATAAGCTTGGTGTCCTGAGCTCAATATCCAGAACTCATGTAAAAGTTAAAGGACAGAAGAACTCCACATGCATGCTGTGGTATACACCTGCTCCCACCCCTCACCTCCCAACCCAATCTCTCTCTCTCTCTCTCTCTCTCTCTCTCTCTCTCTCTCTCTCTCTCTCTCTCTCACACACACACACACACACACACACACACACACAGGGAGAGGTGTGCATGTAAAATATTGGGTTATTAAAAGTAATTTCACCTGTTGCTTATTATGCTTTAATGTGGCTGCTGGAAAATGCAGATTTGCAAATGGCATTATATTTCTGCTGGTAATATCTGATTGAGACTGGCATTCTATTTATGTGATTATGGCTTGGATTAGGGTAACACTTAGGAAAAGAAAGTAAGGAGAAGTTTTTAAGGGATTATGCAGTATTCACAAACATTGTAAAATCTGTGTTGTTTTACAAGATTATGTGCTTTCAATATAGCTTTGTAATAATAATAAGCTCTTGAAGGCAAGGGCTGTATTGCTTTGTTTTCATTCTGCATATATTTATCCTTGACTAGATTCATAAGAAATTGACTGAAAAACAGTTAATAAGATAATGAAGGCAGAAGTTTCTGTCCTTCCAGCAACTCCCACATACCTGGCAGCTGTTTCCCAAATTACTACATAGAGGCTTATATTAATTATAAATGCTTGGCCGGTAGCTCAAGCTTATTACTAGCTCTTACATTTGAATTAACCCATAATTCCTATCTATGCTTACTCACATGGCTTGGTACCTTTTCTCAGTGCGGCAATCTCATCTTGCTTCCTCTGTGTCTGCCTGGCGACTCCTGACTCGGCCCTTCTCCTTCCCAGCATTCCCAGTTTGGCTTTCCCATGTAACTTCCAGCCCAGCTACTGACCTGTCAGCTTTTTATTAACCAATAAGAATAATACATATTCATAATGTGGAAAAGGATTGTTCCACAGCAGGATAGTATGCATTTCATAAAGTTGTTCAGATTTTAGGATATAGATCAGTAAGTTTTTATGCCCCATAATTTAGTATCACAGTTTTACTAGCTAGCCATGTTCTTCCTAAACTGTGGAAGGGTAAGGGAGCTAGTATCTGGTCTTATTGTAGCTCTGTGTGGTCATTTTCTTCATTTAATTCATGTGATAATCCTGTGAGGATGGTCTCCACCGACATTCCCTCAGGTTTGGCAGTTTGTTAACGACACGAATGTGCTCTGTTTCAGAGCAATACTTCCCAGTCTATTTACCTGCTCCAGTAAAGATAGCCTGTTGTTTTATGTAATTTGAATCAATCCCGTATTTTGGTTGACATGAAATGAGTAAAAATCATTGAATAATCATTGAAATAATCATTGAAATTAAATGTACAGTGATAAATTTTGATCGGTATTGTATGCTCAGTGAAAGAAATGTAGAAATTTGTCCTAAAATTGAGAAAGGAAAAAAAAAGGCTTATTTTTTTTCCATTCATCATGATTTTTATGTGTATTGTGTTTTTTTGTTTTTGTTCTTTTGTTGTTTTGTCTTTTGTGGGGGATCAGGTGTCACTATGTTGCCCTTGGCTACCCTGGACTTAATATGTAGCCCAGGCTGGCCTCTAGCTCACTGAGATCCTCCTACCTCTGCCTTCCTCTGTGCTGGAATCAAAGGTGTGTGTGTAATCACTCAGCTTTCTTATGTATTATACTAAATTGAACTAAAGTTCATAGAGAAAAAAAATTTAACAGTTTTAAGTATTTTTTGTCTTTTCAGATAAAATCAAAGACAAAATTAAAGAGAAAGACAAAGAAAAAGAAAAAAAGAAGTATAAAGTAATGAGTGAGATCAAGAAAGAAAATGGAGATGTAAAGATTTTGCTGAAAAGTAAGTTTATATTCACTGAACTTTTCCTACATTTTATGATGTTCAGTATACTTATTAGCCAAGCTATTAAAATAAGAAATGTTTTTTGATGCAGATTTTTTGCTAAGAATAAGAATGCTGTAAAAGTGAAGAGTAAATCTAGTGTTAGGGATTGTCGTCTGCATGGTGACATGCTTTGGTGTATATATTTAATGAGTCATAAAAGCTTTCATGGTTAAGCTTCACTAAAGAGATTACTGTTTTAAAAATAAGTTGTACAATTTGGTGTATGCATTAATAGTTTTTAACCATATTTGTGTAGTTTGAAATAAAAGGCTAAAGTAATTTTGGCACGATAGTGGTGATGACAAACGCCCTTCTTACAGATATTAGAACATAATCACTACATCATAGAGCAGGGCTGAGAGGAACTCTTCACCTGAGCTAAACCAGAGGGTACCGTTTTATTCTGATTCGTGCTTGCTTAAGAGTTGTTTTGTTTTCTTTCTAAGACAGGGTTTCTCTGTGTAGTCCTGACTGTCCTGGAACTCACTCTGTAAACCAGGCTGGACTCAAACTCACAGAGATCTGCCTGCCTCTGCCTCCCAAGTGCTGGGTTTAAAGGCGTGCGCCACCACCTCCTGGGGCCAAGACTATTCTTTTTGGTCTTAACCAACCAATCAAACAAACAAACCCAACATGTCCTCTTTGTTTCTTGTTTCTCTGTTAAACTGTGTTCAGTTAATGTTTGTACATGAGAAAAGGTGGGGAGAAGAATTTTGGGGTAATGTGTTGGGCAGCAACATAATAAATCCTATAAAAAAATGAGAACTTATGTTCCATTAGAGATAAGAACAATCTCCAATTCACCTAGATTGTAAGGTATGAATCAGTGATGTTCTCTTGTGAGGCAGTTGGGATGGCATTGGCTATTCCATTAGATTGACAGTTGTTGATCAGAACCCGTTGACTTCCATTAATTTCAGATTGAATTTGGGTGTCAATAAACAAGGGAGAAAAAACACCGTAATATCGGATATGAAACACAATAACTAATTTATATTACTTAGAATAAATGTGGACTCTTCATTTTCATTTTATTCTTTCTCATATTTGCAAATATTGTTTCTTTATATAATAACAGGTCAGAAAGTTTTATTCAGAGATTTGTTTATTTAATGTATGTGTGCCTGAGTGTACTATGGTACGTGGTAACGTGTATGCAGTATCTTCAGGGATCAGAGAAGAGGGTGTCAGATCTGGAGCTGGAGTTACAGGTGGTGGTGAAACACTCAGTGTGGGTGCTGGGAACTGAACCTAGGTCCTCTTGAAGACTAACAAATATTCTTAACCACTGAGCCAGCTCTCCAACCCCAGAATTTTCCTTCCTGTAATATTCTTTACACCTTAAAAGAAATACATCCCCAATTAGGTGATGACTTCCTGGTTAATGTTCTCAATCCTTTTGTTCTGTTTCTTTTGCCCCGTAGTTTTGTTACTCTTGTTGTTTTATTTTATGTTATTTTTGAGACAGAGTCTCATTATGTAACTTTGGTTGGCCTGGAGCTCGTTATATAGACTAGTCTGGCCTAAAAGTCATATAGATCCTCCTTCCTCTGTGTTTGGAGTACTGGGGTTAAAGGCGTGTACCTCCGTGCCTAGCTGTAGTTTTATCTATTTATTTTTTCAAATTTTTTTTAGGAATCACATGTATGAATGTTTTGCCTGCACTTGTGTATTTGTTCTATGTCTGTGCCTGGTGCTGATGGAGACCAGAACAAAGTGTCAGGTCCCCTGAAACTGGAGTTACAGGAGGCTGTGAACCACCATGTGGGTGCTGGGAACTGAACTCAGGTCCTCTGCAAGAGCAACTAGTGCTCTTAATCACTGAGCCATTTCTTTAGCCCCCTGTTGTTCTATTTTTGAGACAGGGTCTCATGGGTCCAAGGTTGGCCTCAAACTGGATATACGGGAATGAACTTGCACTTGTGATGTGCTTGCCTCCATGTCCCAGGTGCTAGGATGACAGATGCAGTACCAGGGAACAAAGCCCATCCCTGCTCTCGGGTTCCCACTGTGCTGTGGAATTAGACTGTGAGCCTTAGAGGCAGGACGTGAATAACTGCAGTTATGCTGTGAAGCAGCTAGTGATTAATACTCCAAATATTTACTTAACTGCACCCTATTGGTTTAGCCAGTTCTGTTCTTTATTTGAATGTGCAGTGATACACATTTATGCTATTAGAGTAACAATCTGTGGCCTCAGAATACTTTAAGCTCATATATTCTTCATTGGTGACTAAATCCCTAGAGAACCTTATATATGAAAATATCTTAATGAACTGAGAATTTTCTAGGAATATGCAATATTTACCTTGACTTTGAAGTAGATGGAAAATTTAGGAGACATTTTGAACTGAGTAAAGGTGAAGCTAGTGATGAAAACAAACAAAAAGAATGAAGTAGGTTTAGAAATTAATTTGTAACCTTTAGGATGACTAGGAAATCTTAAGGAAATGATTACTGTACAGTGGAGGTAGGTAATAATTTATATTGCTGTGAAGGTTATGTGAGTAGAAGTTTGGAGTGTCAGTCATTCAACAAGTGGATAGTAATCTTGGAAACGTCTTTGAAAGGATAATTTTGGGATTAAAAAGCAACAAAACCAAAAAAAAAAAAAAAAGCCGGGCGGTGGTGGCTCACGCCTTTAATCCCAGCACTCGGGAGGCAGAGGCAGGCGGATCTCTGTGAGTTCGAGGCCAGCCCGGTCTCCAAATCGAGTTCCAGGAAAGGCGCAAAACTACACAGAGAAACCCTGTCTCGAAAAACCAAAAAAAAAAAAAAAAAAGCAACAAAACCAACATTGTCCTTTCTCCTCAGTATATAGTATATAGGTAATCACACTAGTAAAAGCACGGTTCATTTGGAAAAGTGACCCTGTCTTTTTAAGTGCCTTGTGTTGGCTTTTACTATCCAACAAAACTAATCTGTTGAGCATTGTGTGGATGTGGTCAGGGAATAGAATCATCTGTTGTTGATGGTGTGGAACAAGGGGTCAGCTTGTAAGAGGCAATATACTCTTAGTATTTAGTGTGCCACGTTGTTCTTTTCCGCATCTATCTTTTATTCTCTCCTCATAGGTTTCTTTTATAATGTTACAAGCTGTAACATACAGACATTTGAAAATGTAGAAGTTACTAACTCTGTCCTCCCTGAATCTCATTTTCTTTGTGTTTTCCCTAAAACTTTCACTGAACTGAGGTTAGAGAGATGAGTAGTTAACAGCACTGTGCCCTTTGAGAGGACCCAAGGTCAGGTCCCAGCATGGTGGCTTACAGCCATCTGTAACTCTAGTTTCAAGGCATCTAGTGCCTTCTTCTGACCTCCTTGGGCACCAGGTATCTATGTGTGCACATAGATACATGCAGGCAAAACACTCACATATAAACAAACAAATGAACAAGTAAGATTGTGTGTGTGTGTGTGTGTGTGTGTGTGTGTGTGTGTGTGTGTGTGTGTGTTGAACCTGAGCATGGTGTATCATAACTGTATCCTCTCCTACTGCTCAGGAGACTGAAGCATGAGGATCAAAAGTTCCAGGCCAGCTTGGACAGGATAGTGAGTTCTAGGTTAACCTGGGTTACATAGCAAGACTCTAATTAAAAAAAGAAAGGAAAAAAATGTAAGTTACTAAAACAAAACAAAACCCTATAAAGTTTTTATGACTACACATATGTACATGTATATTATACATAATTATATATATGTGAAAAAATTTTAATAGGAAAGTCATTGTTTTACAAAGTGGAATTACTTGCTCTTAGTTCATAGGAACAAATACATTATATAAACTTATTTAGTGGGTCTCATCCTTCTTTACCAAAGTCCACCAACTATTTTTGAACATGTGCATATGTTCTAGCCATCTTACATACTTCATTAAAATTAAGTAATAAGAAAAAAATACATGTTTTGATTTTAGTATTTTAAAATTTTATCATTACATTATGTGAGATGTTTTACTCATGAGCAGGTCTAATAAGTTAAGAGCAGTGTCCTAGGTCACTGACAGCACACCAGAGCTCACAGTAGGGTACATCATGGCAGGAAGAATGAAAGCATTGTGGTGTTAAAAATCAAAGTTGTTTGTAGCAGGCTTTCTTCTCGGCTGTCTTTGGACTGCTAGCCTGCAAATAATGACAGAGACTTATTAGTTAGAAAGCTTGGCCTTAGCTTAGGTTTTTTTTCTCAACTAGCTCTTATAACTTAATTAGCCCATATTTTTTAAATCTACGTGGCTCGGTTACCTCTTAGTACTGTACATCAGACTTGTTCCAAGTCTACTGGTAAAATCGTGCACCTAGATTCATTCCTCTTCCTCTCTTTCCCTAAAAGTCTCTCCTATCTATCCTCTCCTGCATAGTTATTGGCCATTCAGCTTTTTATTAAACCAATCAGAAGGCACCTTGGTAAAGACACATCTTTACAGTGTAAACAAATATTCCCCAACAGTTGTTGAGCCAGGATATAGATCTGTTGTGAAGTGTTTTTTCCTTTAGCATGAGGATCTGAGTTTGATTTCCAGACCCCATGTGAAAGTTAATCGGCATCGTGATGCCCTCTTGTTCCGTTGCTGGGAAAATGAAGACAGGAGGAATCCTGGCACTTTCTGGCTAGTTGAGCCTAGTTTGTGAACTCCTTGTTCATAAGAGACCTTTCTTTAAAGGAGGCCGATGGTGTTCCTAAGGGTGACACCTCTGGCCCCCACCCGTGCTTTCACCACCCTGTAAACCCATGCAGACCTAAAAATCGAAATTGCTTCTCAGGGACCACAGATTTGAAATCAGTAAGCTGTTATTGCTTCTGTATTCTGTGCATGGTAATAGAGTTGAATGTATTACTACTATATCAGATATGAAAAACCATCCAGTTTTCCTGGGTAAAATTTATTTTTTACTTTGTTAGCTTAAAAGATATACGGAGGTTACAGGTAGAAATTATTATCAGTGAACACTTATTTA